ATATATATATATATATATATATATATATATATATATAACGCTTTTATTTTTAACAATGATACTATATAATACAAAATATTCAAAATATTTATGGTCAAGAATAATTTCATGTCAATTTTTATTTTTTAATAAAATAAAAATAATAATTATGAGATTAAATAATAAATATAATGAATAATGATTAAATAATCATTGAACAATTTATGTTGTCATGTTAAAAAATTAAATAACAATGAACTACATATGTTTTGTTAATTTTTGTTTAGATACAAAATAAGGAATATATACAATTTATTAAAAGGTAATGTTTATTTAAAATAATAATATAAAAACTTTAAAATAAAGTATAAAACAAAGTTTACAGTTATCTTACCTTAGTTGAAAAAAATACATTGATTAATTAAATTATACATCAAAACATAATTAAATTATCTTAATTTAACTTTTATTTTAATTATATTAATTTATACTTTTTATTTTAATGTTAAAATAAAAATAACTAAGGATCATATTTAAAAACATTAAAAATGTTAAATATTTAAAAATATTAATTTTTATACTGAATCAATATTTTTTAGCCAGAATTTATTTATTTTAAGTTGAGTTAGATTAGTTGAGAATGAAATGTACATATCTCCAAAAAAACGACATTAGATTGATTTGTGTGAACATGAATTTAAATAAATAAAAAATAAATATTTAAAAATAAATAAAAAAATAAGTATTTAAAAGTGAGATAAGATTAATACTACACGTAACTAGGTTGAGTTTTTCATAGAGTTATTCATCTAACTTACAGTTCTAAAACAAAATGAAAGTAGAAGTGATAGGAACTCACTAAACATAGTTCAGTTTTTAGTTAACTGCACTAGAAATATAATAAGTTCAGTTTTTCTAAACTGAACTAGACAATAGTATAATTAGTTTTTAGTTAAAATAGATTAGTTTTTTATAGTATAAAATAGTACAGTTAACTATAGTTTAGTATAGTTAAGTTATTTTTGCCCAGCCCTAATCGTTAATGCAAATTCTGAGGATATTATTCTACCAACTGCAAAAACAATTCCCAAAGCTGTTAGATAACAAAAATAAATAAATCAAACTCATCCATATATATTAACTTCTACAATCTACGAGTACAAATAAGATATGTTGTCAGTGGATTACAAGTAATTTATATAACACAAATTACTTCACATTTAACTCAAAACATTTTCACAATTAAATTACAAGTAATTTTCATAAGAGAAAATACTTTTTCTCACTTAACTTTAATACGTGCTTGGGTGACGAAAATCTAGAGAATAATTCATTTGTGTAAAGAACTTAAAATACTTTATGATAAAATATGTTATTTGAATAGAGATTTAAAAAAATTTAAAATTTTAAACACTCAAGTAATTTTATTATTTAAAATTATAAAAGTTCAAATTTCACTCTAAAATAAAGAATTTGAACTTCTATACTTCTTTCTCATCTTTAATTTATTTTGTGTTTTTTTTTCACACTTTTATATTCTCTTAATCTTAACATGTCACCTTAACATAACTTAAAAATTTGTCGACTTAGTCTTGTTCAAAAACTACTCACCTTAGCCTTGATCCAAATATTGATCAAAAGATCAACCGTTCAATCTCAATCACTACAAAAAAATAGATATTATCAACAACAAAAATTCATCAAAAAAGTAAAAAATCTATTGGTAAAGAATTTTTTTTAATGAAAAAAAATTCACGATAAAAGTGTGATTAGTAATCTACGAAAATTTATATCCTTCGATAATTATCAAAAGAAAATTTTGTTAATAAATATCGTGATCTTGTTCATCTTTCCTTCTCTCTTCCTTCTTCTTTCTTTTAGCTTTTCATTTCTTTTTCTACATGGTGAATTTCATCATGAAGTAAAGACCAATCCAAGAATAACAATTAAAATATTCTTAAAAGAAATTCACAAGCATAAGAGAAGGTATTCAATCACTCCACTATTCATGTCATTACCAACAATCAATGTACAAGGTTCTTTCATTAGCAAAGGGTCTTTCTTGACATCTCTTTTTCTACAATCATAACAAACAACAATTAAACAAAAGAAAACCCTACGTAAGAGGTGTTCACAACTCCGATCTCGACAAGATGAGGTTGTAGTGCACTATTTTCATGATTCTCAAATTTGAGAGAGGTTTCAAGAGTTTTGTACCACATGTTCTCATAGATGACACCTCTAATGACCTACTATGGTCAAGAGGTGACATGACTCCTAGATTTGACTTCAAAGGTTTGTGCACGAAGAAGATGATGGGAAAGGGAAGCATTTATGGCGGTGCTAACAGTCACTCTAATCATGAACAACATGATTGTTGATGTGATGATGACTCATTGCAGCAGTGCTAAGTCGTTGGCAGAGGGAAAACGTTCACAACTGTCACTAGTGATGTTCTGAGGCATAATGACAAGCGATGACAATACGGGTGAGGCTTACGATGGAACTCTAATGATAATCTCTTATGTCTAAATGGAGAAGAAATCCTAAAGGTTTCTAGGTTTGAAGATAAGAGTTACGAGTTTGAATAGGAGATGAAGATGAAGAGAAAGAGACTTGGTCTCATTTCTACACTCCAATTTCTACCACTTATGCACTTACTAGACTATTTAGACAAAATTTTTGTTGTTTTGTTATCGAAGGATTTACCGATGAACAAACATGCAAGTAATAAATTTTAATATTTGTAAGTATCGATAAATTTTATCGACAAATTTTTTTTATCAATAATATATATTTCACTTATCAACGGCTTACATAATTTAACGCATTAAAGCTAAAATGATAACCTAAAATACAATTTAATTGAAAAAACATTTAACATTGTTGAGTTAAAATGATTATATTCACTTATTTTTGTTATCCGAAACCAAAATTTATCAAAATTTTGAAATACAAATAAATTTTAATTTCACATTTAAATTTAAAGAAAAATATATATTTAATTTATTTTTAAATATAAGATAACAATTTTTTTCTCATTTATACGTTGTTTATTCATATTTTGAAGGGGAAAAAAAGTGAGACTTGAACTGGTTGTTTAGATAAAAGCATATTAAATTCAGCACTAGTTGATGAGTGTGGTTAATTTTCTATTTTTTATACAATATCAAGCTTCCTCGGTTAATACCGGGAAAAAGGAAGGCTAATAAGTTTTTTAAACCAAAAACATATTAGTGACTTAAACTTTTGCCGGTAGCTAGGTGAGATAGGGTGGAGTAATGGCGGCAGGATCTAGCTTTTAATAAACCCTTACAACTACATTGGAATAAAACCTCACACCACATTCCCTTCTCCCTTCTTTTTTCACTTTTTACATGTCAAAATCATCGTAACTTAATCACATATACCATGATTACATGTTTTAAACTATAATTAATAAAAAGAATACTAGGGAATCGTATGTAATGTGGATGAGATGACTCATACCTACCTGTGATCTATGTACTAGCACATAGAAAATATTATAAACTAATCTCTATAAGATATTAAAATATTATATTCAATTTAAAACCTTACATAGTGAATGTTTCTTTATATAGTGTATAATTGATCTATTTCTGTCCTATATAAAACTATAAGACTTTAACTTGATTGTAACAGCTTTTTATTTAAAAGAAAAGACGATGTCATATGTTTTAAAAGATTCTATTATTATTGAATTTAAGGTTTCATATATTTTTCCTGAAAATAACAAGCTTCTTTGTATTTTATTCTTTTGGAAATATTTATAGCTTTCCAACAAAATTTAAATTTTCTCAACCTTTCTAGCTTGATGGTCGATTTTTTCTAGCACAAATTTGATATCTAACAAAAATTTATAAAAAAACATGCATCTACCCATTTTTTAAGACAATACACATTAAAATAACTTCACCCAGTTTCAGAGTTTCTAAAATCTGTATAAACTAATTTTAGTAAACATGTAATCAAAGTAGGTTATAAAGCTTATGCATCAATTGTCAAAGATGTCAAGAAAAAACAAAGATGTATAGTTTTGGGCTACGAAGTGCTCCTTTTTGTCATGTCTGTCTAACTACGGTGCACATATCTATTTTCATTTCTTTCATCATTTGAACAATATTTTGCATTTCAGTAATTTTACTTTTCCTTTGCTGTAAAGTTATGATTTTTTGTTCCCATGAGTTTCTTATTTTATGTTAAATAAGTAAAATATCTAGAGGTGATATAAAACATTAATCAGTCCAAACCCATATACATTCAAAGTGTGCACAAGTGACCATTTTTAGTTTAAGGCCTGTTAAGATTAGTTTAATCTCAAAATTTTTGAAAAGGAAACAATTATTAACTTAACATTAGTAAAGGCAGCAACCAAAGTTTGATGCTGACTGCGAGTAGCAGAACATTAAGCCTCATTGAGGTTTATGACAATCATGACCATACTCACTAGCACAGAAAATTAAGAGAAAATCTTAACTGAACCCTACAAAACCTTAACAAACTCATCTACAAAATCATAGACACTCATAATTTCTTAGCAGATGCTTTTATTCTTTCTGCCCAGAGGAGAACAGCATGCTTCAACTGCTATGCAGTGCAGATAATTCGGGTAGACTTTCCTTTGTTCTGTTTTTTCCTTGCTTCATTAGCTCTATAAACTCCTTAAAAGCTGCATTACCAACAAATTTGAATTAAGATATGACAAATGTCTGTCTACATAGCTCACAATACAGCTCTTGAAAACATTTCTCAAGACAGCAAGTTTTAAGTGTCTCACCGTAGTCAGAATCATGAGGTCCAGGGGATGCTTCAGGGTGGTATTGAAGAGACATAAGTTGTTGTGCAGGGAAAGAAAGACCGGCACAGCTTCCATCATTGAGATTGATATGAGTAACCTTCACTCCTTCCGGCAGTGTTGCAGGGTCAACAGCATAGTTGTGGTTCTGCCAATTTTATATACCAATCCATGAGCCATGAATAAAACAACATAATTAACATGAAAACACTTTTCTTGATAAAAACAAGAAAAAAATCTCAAGTGACTATGATTTTATGAGGTAAAAACATACTCCCTCAGCACTGAGCACACGGCCTAATGCACTCCAATGGAATTTTTAAGTATAATTATGGTGGAACACAAAAAATAAGTAACAGATAATCATCCATTAGTTCACATACCTGAGCACTAATTTCAACATGGCCGGTTTGAAGGTTACGAACAGGATGATTTCCTCCGTGGTGACCAAATTTCATCTTGAATGTTTTACCTCCTAAAGCCTGGCCTAGCAATTGATGGCCCATGCAAATTCCAAAAACAGGCACCTTTCCAATTATATTCTTCACTGTTTCAACAGCATATGGAACAGCAGATGGATCTCCAGGGCCATTACTGAAAAGAACCCCATCTGGCTTCATCTTCAAAGTTTCTGATGCTGGCCATGTAGATGGCACAACAGTGATTTTGCAGCCATAAGATGCTAGGCGTCTAAGAATATTATGCTTGATTCCAAAATCATAAGCAACCACCTGCATTTTCATTCATCAGCAATCAATATAAATTAAATAACCCAATAGTAACAAAATTCAGTACTAATAGCATACAGCATTACGTACATGGAAATTCTCTCTTGCCACTTTACCGGAACTAAACTCCCATTGTTGCTTTGTTTTATCAACCCACTCATGTGGACTTTTGCATGATACTCCACTTATTAGATCAACACCTGGAAAATGAAATAGCATCCACGTAATTCCAATTTTAGAAACATGTACATAAACTCAAACTCACATACTTACCAACAATGTCCCATGACTTAGACATCTGAAGCAGTTGCTCATCTGTTTTGGAATTGTCCGTGCTCAAAACACCAATAAGACTGCCATCTTGCCGCAATCTGCGTGTGATTGCACGAGTATCAACATCATCTGTTGCATCACAAAGCAACATCAAAATCAGAAACCAGGATTTAAACCTATGCAGATTGCAGAGAACAACATTCTTCGCAGAATATCTTTTTACATAAACTACTCACAAATTCCCATGATATTCCTTTCAGCTAAGTATTCACCCAGAGCCTTCGCACATCTCCAGTTAGAGGTACTGAAAAAACATGCATTGCATAGACACAGGGAGAGTGAGTAGACTAAGTAAACCTCAGTCAATCATGAAACATTTCAAAGCGCAACAGAACCTGATGCTCAAACTTCTAATTACAAGACCAGCAAGGAAACACTGCATCGATTCCTCATCATCTGGCAATAGCGAACCAAGAGACAGTTATCAAATAGCTTCCAAGCTCGACAATTCAGGACTCACTCAAATTATTAAAAGAAACCACCAACCAAAATTAACGCCAGTATTCCCAATATGAGGATTTGTCATCAGCACAAACTGACCAGCATAACTAGGATCTGTCAAAATTTCCTGATACCTGGCAATCGCACACATAAGAAAGATTACCACGGTTTAGCTTGCAAGCAAAGCTGTAAAAAAAATGAAACATCCCAAGATTCATAGTTTCCTGACCCTGTCAGTGATGTATTGAAAACAACTTCGCCAACTTGAGTCCCTGAAGCACCAAACGATTTCGCTCTCCAAATTGAACCATCTTCTAGAACCAGTCTAGCATCTGAGTTTTTCCAAGGTCTTTCTCCATTACCTGTCATATGTAATACAACAGAATCGACTTATATGAACCACGGTAGCAAATTAACAATACCCTCCAAAACCAAAAGCTAAACAGGGGACATTCACATCAAAGGGGCAAAAGAAATAGTAATCTTCATGTCACGAAATGCACTAAAATATGGGTCCTTTGAAAAAGAAAGCGTTTTGAAGGTATTGAGGAAACCCATTGAGAGGTTACCCGAAGAGCATCTGACGGTAAAGACGGAAACTTTAGCTGCGGCGGCGGCGGATGGCGGACTGGAGGAGAAGCAGTTGGTGAGGTCGTTGAAGGACAAAGCGAAAGACAAAGCTTTTGTCGCCATGGACAGTCACTGCAGCACCGTTACTGGTATGTCTGTGAAACCAGTCCTGTCGTAGTGCACAGCCTCCCTTTACCTAGGTTTTTATTTTGCAATTTCATCACCTTCTTTTTCCCTTTTTTACTTTTTTAATAATCATTTTTCCTCCATGCAACTGGTAACACTACATTAGTTGTTTTCCTGAAATCGATACTCTCCATTTCAAATTAATTATATTTTAAAATTTTCTTACATAAAATAAGAAGGTTATTTAAGCTAATAATATTCAAGTTTTCTACTATTTTCTTTAATTTATAAAAGCATACCATCAAGTATTCTGAGATAATAATATTTATTAAGAAACAAGGATAAAAATAGAAATTTTAATATTTCGTTAACAATTAAGGCTATGTTTATATGCCTATTTTAGTTCTTTTCTTAGTTATTTTGTACTAGTTAACAAATTTACAAACTTTATTACTAGTTACTAGCGTCTGATAACACGTTTTTATGGTGATATATGTATTTTCTAAAACGGAAACTACGCCCATCAATTTAAAAATGAAAATGATTTTTTGTTTGGGAAATGTGAGGGAAAAATAAGAAATTATGGTTGCTTATTTTAAATTGATTGAAGTTTAAATAATATATATATATATATATATATATATATATNAAAAAGAATACTAGGGAATCGTATGTAATGTGGATGAGATGACTCATACCTACCTGTGATCTATGTACTAGCACATAGAAAATATTATAAACTAATCTCTATAAGATATTAAAATATTATATTCAATTTAAAACCTTACATAGTGAATGTTTCTTTATATAGTGTATAATTGATCTATTTCTGTCCTATATAAAACTATAAGACTTTAACTTGATTGTAACAGCTTTTTATTTAAAAGAAAAGACGATGTCATATGTTTTAAAAGATTCTATTATTATTGAATTTAAGGTTTCATATATTTTTCCTGAAAATAACAAGCTTCTTTGTATTTTATTCTTTTGGAAATATTTATAGCTTTCCAACAAAATTTAAATTTTCTCAACCTTTCTAGCTTGATGGTCGATTTTTTCTAGCACAAATTTGATATCTAACAAAAATTTATAAAAAAACATGCATCTACCCATTTTTTAAGACAATACACATTAAAATAACTTCACCCAGTTTCAGAGTTTCTAAAATCTGTATAAACTAATTTTAGTAAACATGTAATCAAAGTAGGTTATAAAGCTTATGCATCAATTGTCAAAGATGTCAAGAAAAAACAAAGATGTATAGTTTTGGGCTACGAAGTGCTCCTTTTTGTCATGTCTGTCTAACTACGGTGCACATATCTATTTTCATTTCTTTCATCATTTGAACAATATTTTGCATTTCAGTAATTTTACTTTTCCTTTGCTGTAAAGTTATGATTTTTTGTTCCCATGAGTTTCTTATTTTATGTTAAATAAGTAAAATATCTAGAGGTGATATAAAACATTAATCAGTCCAAACCCATATACATTCAAAGTGTGCACAAGTGACCATTTTTAGTTTAAGGCCTGTTAAGATTAGTTTAATCTCAAATTTTTTGAAAAGGAAACAATTATTAACTTAACATTAGTAAAGGCAGCAACCAAAGTTTGATGCTGACTGCGAGTAGCAGAACATTAAGCCTCATTGAGGTTTATGACAATCATGACCATACTCACTAGCACAGAAAATTAAGAGAAAATCTTAATTGAACCCTACAAAACCTTAAACTCATCTACAAAATCATAGACACTCATAATTTCTTAGCAGATGCTTTTATTCTTTCTGCCCAGAGGAGAACAGCATGCTTCAACTGCTATGCAGTGCAGATAATTCGGGTAGACTTTCCTTTGTTCTGTTTTTTCCTTGCTTCATTAGCTCTATAAACTCCTTAAAAGCTGCATTACCAACAAATTTGAATTAAGATATGACAAATGTCTGTCTACATAGCTCACAATACAGCTCTTGAAAACATTTCTCAAGACAGCAAGTTTTAAGTGTCTCACCGTAGTCAGAATCATGAGGTCCAGGGGATGCTTCAGGGTGGTATTGAAGAGACATAAGTTGTTGTGCAGGGAAAGAAAGACCGGCACAGCTTCCATCATTGAGATTGATATGAGTAACCTTCACTCCTTCCGGCAGTGTTGCAGGGTCAACAGCATAGTTGTGGTTCTGCCAATTTTATATACCAATCCATGAGCCATGAATGAAACAACATACTTAACATGAAAACACTTTTCTTGATAAAAACAAGAAAAAAATCTCAAGTGACTATGATTTTATGAGGTAAAAACATACTCCCTCAGCACTGAGCACACGGCCTAATGCACTCCAATGGAATTTTTAAGTATAATTATGGTGGAACACAAAAAATAAGTAACAGATAATCATCCATTAGTTCACATACCTGAGCACTAATTTCAACATGGCCGGTTTGAAGGTTACGAACAGGATGATTTCCTCCGTGGTGACCAAATTTCATCTTGAATGTTTTACCTCCTAAAGCCTGGCCTAGCAATTGATGGCCCATGCAAATTCCAAAAACAGGCACCTTTCCAATTATATTCTTCACTGTTTCAACAGCATATGGAACAGCAGATGGATCTCCAGGGCCATTACTGAAAAGAACCCCATCTGGCTTCATCTTCAAAGTTTCTGATGCTGGCCATGTAGATGGCACAACAGTGATTTTGCAGCCATAAGATGCTAGGCGTCTAAGAATATTATGCTTGATTCCAAAATCATAAGCAACCACCTGCATTTTCATTCATCAGCAATCAATATAAATTAAATAACCCAATAGTAACAAAATTCAGTACTAATAGCATACAGCATTACGTACATGGAAATTCTCTCTTGCCACTTTACCGGAACTAAACTCCCATTGTTGCTTTGTTTTATCAACCCACTCATGTGGACTTTTGCATGATACTCCACTTATTAGATCAACACCTGGAAAATGAAATAGCATCCACGTAATTCCAATTTTAGAAACATGTACATAAACTCAAACTCACATACTTACCAACAATGTCCCATGACTTAGACATCTGAAGCAGTTGCTCATCTGTTTTGGAATTGTCCGTGCTCAAAACACCAATAAGACTGCCATCTTGCCGCAATCTGCGTGTGATTGCACGAGTATCAACATCATCTGTTGCATCACAAAGCAACATCAAAATCAGAAACCAGGATTTAAACCTATGCAGATTGCAGAGAACAACATTCTTCGCAGAATATCTTTTTACATAAACTACTCACAAATTCCCATGATATTCCTTTCAGCTAAGTATTCACCCAGAGCCTTCGCACATCTCCAGTTAGAGGTACTGAAAAAACATGCATTGCATAGACACAGGGAGAGTGAGTAGACTAAGTAAACCTCAGTCAATCATGAAACATTTCAAAGCGCAAGAACAGAACCTGATGCTCAAACTTCTAATTACAAGACCAGCAAGGAAACACTGCATCGATTCCTCATCATCTGGCAATAGCGAACCAAGAGACAGTTATCAAATAGCTTCCAAGCTCGACAATTCAGGACTCACTCAAATTATTAAAAGAAACCACCAACCAAAATTAACGCCAGTATTCCCAATATGAGGATTTGTCATCAGCACAAACTGACCAGCATAACTAGGATCTGTCAAAATTTCCTGATACCTGGCAATCGCACACATAAGAAAGATTACCACGGTTTAGCTTGCAAGCAAAGCTGTAAAAAAAATGAAACATCCCAAGATTCATAGTTTCCTGACCCTGTCAGTGATGTATTGAAAACAACTTCGCCAACTTGAGTCCCTGAAGCACCAAACGATTTCGCTCTCCAAATTGAACCATCTTCTAGAACCAGTCTAGCATCTGAGTTTTTCCAAGGTCTTTCTCCATTACCTGTCATATGTAATACAACAGCATCGACTTATATGAACCACGGTAGCAAATTAACAATACCCTCCAAAACCAAAAGCTAAACAGGGGACATTCACATCAAAGGGGCAAAAGAAATAGTAATCTTCATGTCACGAAATGCACTAAAATATGGGTCCTTTGAAAAAGAAAGCGTTTTGAAGGTATTGAGGAAACCCATTGAGAGGTTACCCGAAGAGCATCTGACGGTAAAGACGGAAACTTTAGCTGCGGCGGCGGCGGATGGCGGACTGGAGGAGAAGCAGTTGGTGAGGTCGTTGAAGGACAAAGCGAAAGACAAAGCTTTTGTCGCCATGGACAGTCACTGCAGCACCGTTACTGGTATGTCTGTGAAACCAGTCCTGTCGTAGTGCACAGCCTCCCTTTACCTAGGTTTTTATTTTGCAATTTCATCACCTTCTTTTTCCCTTTTTTACTTTTTTAATAATCATTTTTCCTCCATGCAACTGGTAACACTACATTAGTTGTTTTCCTGAAATCGATACTCTCCATTTCAAATTAATTATATTTTAAAATTTTCTTACATAAACTAAGAAGGTTATTTAAGCTAATAATATTCAAGTTTTCTACTATTTTCTTTAATTTATAAAAGCATACCATCAAGTATTCTGAGATAATAATATTTATTAAGAAACAAGGATAAAAATAGAAATTTTAATATTTCGTTAACAATTAAGGCTATGTTTATATGCCTATTTTAGTTCTTTTCTTAGTTCTTTTCTTAGTTCTTTTCTTAGTTATTTTGTACTAGTTACTAGCGTCTGATAACACGTTTTTATGGTGATATATGTATTTTCTAAAACGGAAACTACGCCCATCAATTTAAAAATGAAAATGATTTTTTGTTTGGGAAATGTGAGGGCAAAATAAGAAATTATGGTTGCTTATTTTAAATTGATTGAAGTTTAAATAATATATATATATATATATATATATATATATATATATTATACAGCTTGTATATATGATTTATATATTATAACACTGTGTATGTTTTATATAATTTTCTATAAATATAATATTATAATTTGGGTCGTACTTAATGACTAGTGCCTTACTGTGTTTATTTTATATCACTAAAATTTGTAATGCATGAATATTTTTAAACATATAAATTATATTTTAGATTTTTTTAAACATTAATATTTTAATA